GAGAACCTATGGTTTCTGTAATTCTATGATTTCGCATTGTGGAATCCAAACCTCCAATTTGCTCAGATCTAAACTGGGAATCTCTATAAGTGCTGAATTCCTGAGTCCATAAATTTGCTATCTTGTAAATATCACAAGATGCATCAGATATTAATTAATTAATTAATAATTTGAAATACAAATGTTTATCATTTGACAATGGTTTCCTGCATTATGTTGTTCTATACCACACTATTTGTGATATTTTAAATCTAAAATCACAATGAAGATGTCTTCTATCTTGGATAAGAACATTTCATTATAGCTGAGAAAAAATATTTTATTAGGTCTTTTGACATACTTATTCTCACATTTTTCTGTCTACAGGAACTATTTGAACTGGTGAGTCAATGGATATGGGATGCCACTTAGGTACATTTGAACTGAGTCCAATACGCTGTATTAGACTACACAAACCTTCCAGAAAGATGTTTCATTCTGATTTGAAAGCATTAGAAAATGGAGAAACCACAACTATCTTTGCTAACTTCTTCCAGTGGTTAATTAGCCTCAGTACTAATAGTTTTGAATTTATTTCTAATTTTAATTTATGTGGGTTTAATTTTTATACCGTTTTTGTTATATTTTACCTTAATGGCTCAAGGAACCATTTAGTTCCTAGTATTTTCTCTCTTTGAAGAAACTTCTTGATTATAATCAATTTACCTCTTAATTTTTAATTTTTCTTTATATTTTTATATAAATACATACACTTATCTTCAAAAGAAGAATGCCAAAAAGAAATACCCAGAACGCAAATCCTGAAATTCACTAACTGGCATTAATAAATTCTAAAGGTCTTTAAAAAAAAAAGAAAGAAAAAGAAAAAATGAGAGAGCAAGATCCATAACAATACTCAATAAGATCGAGACAAAGCCAAGAATGAGCAAAAACTAGGTGGATGTGATTTTCTGAAATTATAAGCTTAGACTGGTGCCTAAACACAGATTAAGGAGATGGATTTTCAAAAACATAGCAAGTCTGTAATGAGATGAATATTTCTAACTTGTTTGGGTGTTTCTGAAATTCCGCACCCACACAAGATTAAGGCATCCATTTTTAAGATATTGACCTGAAGCAATGAAGAAATAGTATTACTAAATAAGTAAATACACAGTCTTCCACTGCTCCATATTCATCATTTAGGAAAGACATTTAGATATAAGAAAGAAATGGCTAACAACTTACTGGAAGATCAGGGCAATAAGAATCCTGTACATCATATAGAAAACAAAATACTTTATTCATGTTTCATGTAGAAAAAAGTTAGACTGGTCAGAGATACTCTGGCTGTTTATATCTAATCGGATGAGATATCCTCAGCAATTCAGAAAGGATGAAATCCTATGTAAACTTTATCCTTCCTAGAACTGCTTAAGATGTTAAATTATTTTTCTCTCGATTTCTGAATATTCCATCGATTCTACTTTAATTTTCTATATGTACAGAAACTGAAGATCATACAGTTTCTGTTTTGTTGCAAAAATTTTGTAAGTTAAATGCAAAAGTATAATATTCATTCATTTGACGTTTACAACCCTATAATAAAGCACAGGATAAAACATTTACATGGGTTAGTCAGGGCAAAACACCTGGGTAGTTTTCATAGATTAATAAAAACATAATGAAAATATAATTTATATTGTCAAAATATCTCAAAGATGCTAAAAGGTCTTTCATTTTAAAATCATTAAGTTGTAATGTTGTAAATAAGGTAAAGAGCACTTCACAAATTATTGATGCTTATTCATCTAAACTGAATTCTTCCTAATAATTCAATTTATAAATCAGTAATGTATATAATTTTCCTGGTTAATAAGCACCTACTGAGTAATATGGGCTTTAATAGTACTTTGCTTTACAGACATTGATGAGCTTGGCAATAACAGAAGAGTTGAAAACAAAACAAAAACCAGAAAAAAAACCCTCTTAAACCACATCTACTTTGTGGTCGCAGAAGTGAATTCTATGTAGCATAGAGGTATTTTAAATTACATAGCTCAGAAAATTTTAACTGTCTAGCTATTGCTGCTTGGTTTAATTTAGTCCACTCTTGACAGCAATGTAGACATGCACCAGAGACTTTTGTTCCATTCCATTTTTTATTTTCTTTCTTTTCTCCTGCTTGCCTTTTATTGCCCCCAAACTCGAAAGCTCAGGGTAAAGTCAGGCATCAAACTCAATGCAAGCTTAAAACATCACTTTTGGTGACACTTGTTGACTCCAAGATGAATGTTGGTTGGTGCCCACTCGTTACGGTTGTAGCATTTAAATATTTTGTAATTAAACAGCTTACATAGATACATACTATCTGTTAATATCTCTTCTCTAATACGACATTTTAGTTAAGGTCAGCAGGTGTACCAGTGTCATTTCAATCACTGTCTGAAGACACTTCTGGGTATCACTAGGGGTGCAAATGTGATATTTAACTGACGGATTCCATCCAAGAGTCTTCAAGTCTTAATTAAGAGAATGAATCAAATAGTCTGGGTGCATTCTTTTTTCACTTAAAAATAGTTTAACTAGTAGTAAAGGATTTAAGTCATGGGTGAAGCTGGAATCAGTCTCTGTCTTGAGAGGAAAATCAGTTCAATTGAAGACAAGGAAGAAATAATGTCTCTGTGCTATATGTTTTTGAACCTTCTGACAAAATAGCCTAAATTCTCAAAACTTTGGCAAATTGATAATTTGAAGAAAGAATTATAAATCTGATCAAGGAAGGCTTTGTATCGATAATTTTAATTTTAATCCCTTTTTATATACATTTTTCAACATTTCAAAATGAAAAGTCAATTTGAACTGAAAAATGAAACTTCACATTTAGAAATTTTAAAACAGGATATTTCAAAAATTTAAAAGCTTTTTTCCATAATACAATTCTAATGAGAATTTTCAAGACCAATCCTTTTTCACAAACAGTGCTACTCCTGTTGATTAATATTTCAAGTAAAACATTTCATTGAAACATTTTCAATCAAGTTAAATGGCAATATACACTATCTTCACGATAGACAGAAATCCATACCAAACTTAACACTTGTTTGCTTTAACATTCATCAGAATTGCCTTGCTTGCGGTTGCTCTTTGGTTTTTGTAAGCATTATTGCTCCTGCTGTTTATCACTAATGATATTGGAAACAAATGTACTTTACATATTTGGTAGAAGACAGAAAACCTAAACCTTTGGAATTTATTTGTCTGCAATGGGAATAGTCAAACTACAAATCAGATGATTTTTGCTGGTGTATTAATTACAGTTTTCATAAGAATTATGCTTACTCATCTTGAGTATACCTGCAGCAGATAGAAACTCCAAAACATACAAGGGAATCTTGATTCCCTTGTTCTTATTTATGCAAGAATGAGAGAGATACTCATTCAAGAAACCTGCAATACATGAAATCTTCAAGTTAATTCATGAATGGGGGTCTCCACAACTGCTGTTTTCCTTAATAAGTGTACACTTCGAGGAATGACTTTGCCTTAGGTTTCATCACAGTCTCCCTATCTAATTTGCTGTATGGATAACCCGTGTCTGCTTCATGTATATTTTTTCCAACTTCTAAGCCAAGGACTAATACCTTCCCTCCATTACCTTTTTGTACTTTTTTTGCCTCACCTGATTTCTCCTCATAACTAACTTTAGACACTATTATCATAAAGAAGGAGATTTCTCTCTTATGGACAGCAAGCAGAAGTATGTTTTCTCCAGTTTGTTGTTCCTATTTTTAGGCTGTTACCTACTTGCATTTAAAAATCACTTTTCTGTTTTACCTTAAATTAGCCTCTGCTTCAAGAACTCTCCTAAGAGTTTAAATCCTTAAAATGCAGAAAGAATCTTCAAGTAACAATGGATATTCTGTTGGGATTTTTTTCAGGCTCTGTTACTTTACGGGCAATGGTTATAATGTTACAGGAGGACAGCAAGACTCTTATCTCTTCCTCAAGTTTTACTTATTAAATTTTTTATATATATATAATTGCTGGACATTCATTATACAAATAGAGGAGGACAAGAGCAGGCTGCATAATATATTTTAGAGTGAGATATTGACTGTTTAAAAGAAAGCTTTCAATAGAATTGAAAATCAGAGATTTAATGGCAAATGTGTAATTTCACTGAGACATATTGTTGAATTTTAATTCAATGAATAATGACTAATAAAACTATTATTTTATGGAATTGATATTTTCAATATATACTGAAATAAAAATATACATTTTTATAATTTTTCTTTTGAAGTTCAAAATCTAGGAAATGTTAGGTTAAAACCATAAAAATAATGAATCAGTTATGCCATCAATCATAAAACTAAAGAATTTGAAGCTATTCCTTTTCATGTGCAAAATATTGTTTCCATTTCAATGTATGGCATAAGCTGAAGCTTCTATAAAAATATTTATAGTAAAATACAGCATAAATCTATAATTACACTTAATTAGTTTTAGAAAGTTGCATCCAATACTTAGACACTGTGAAATTATTTAGAATCCGTCAATTTTACTTCAGTTACTGCTGAAGTAACAAAAAGCATGACGTAATAGTCTTTTGTGAGCTGAACGGCATATTTGCTCTCATCTACACAAAGCCCTGTAAATAACCTACAGGTTGTTAGTCATTAATTAACTCAGTATCCAAAATGCTCATTTTAGCTCTTCCATATTAATGCAGTATACATAGAGTACTTTAAATAACCATTAACAACCAGATGCATTTTAAGCAAAGTAAGGAAGAGTTACAGAAAATATTTTGACTTCCCATGTAAAAACCTTCTTAGAATTCCATCCACTGAATGTACAAACCCCTCTGAAGGAACTGAGAAGTCTTTAGTGGATTGTCTTGGAAGAGATCAGCAAAGCAGAATTCAGTATCTAATAAAAGGTGCTCCCCAGGCCATGGGTGTAGTAAAACATCATGCAAGGTATGAAGTCACACTATCATTTTCATCTATCTTCTTTCAGTTGGTGGTCACATTGGCTTCCTTTTGACGTAGCCTTTCTTTCTGTTAAAGAAAAAGACAGAATTTTATTCCATTCTTGTGTATAATTTTCCATCTCCTGTCAAGTTACCACGAGCATTTGGTCTAGAAGTCTGACAAGTACTAAACAAGTCACAGTAGATTAGAGGTTTCTTTAATTAAAAAAAGTTAACACTTGGAGCACTCAAGGAAGGCTCAGAACCAGAAACCATTACTTACTGTAGAGAATCTGAGCTTGCTTTAGCTACACACTTGTCAAATACTGTGTACCTTCAAAAATACACAGCTCTGTGAAGACCAGTGCAGCTGGAGAAAACCAGATAAATTTCAAATTCACGTGAATTTAATATCTTCTCTCCTCTGGAATGGTTTCTGCTGACATAAAGGCTCTAATTTAGCATTAGATAGATTATGTTGTGCAATGACTTCTTCGCAAGCAAGTGTAGTCATTCATATCTCTGCCGCCTGTCCTGCAAATAATATGCTCTGCTGGGAATGGAAATGATGTACAGATTCCTTCACGTTCATTTCCTTCCCTTAGTCTCTTGATGCCTACAGTTTCAGAAATACTGATCTAACCTGTCTGCCTTGCACACAGACAAAAAAGGTTTTATCTCCAGTGTAAACTATTAGTCCTCTTTTTGTGTCTTATCAAAAATCTGGGAAACAGCAAGCAACAAAATAGGGATTTAATCCCTTCTACCATTATTCGACAGAACAAATAAGATTTTGAAAGCTTTTACAAAAAACATACACTCAGCCATTGGACAAATATATGCAGTGAGCCTCAGTGCACTATGGAGCACAGAAGAAAATACAAGAGACTTCATTGGAAGAGGGGAAAAAAAAAGAAAAGCAGCTCTTATCATATTTTGTTATCTAAAATAGCAGAGTCGTGCTTAGGCACAAGTAAACTAAGTTTTAAACTTCAATGTTGGACTACTGTAGGGCATAAGCTTAAAGATTTCTCCTTGGGAAGAAAATCACTCTGCTACATTCAAACTAAGCATACTATGTCACCCTTCAACAACAGCAGAAACCCACCATCATTCTGAATGACAACAGTAGTGTCACGAAACCCTTTCTGAATGTCATACTGAGAAACACATCATACCAAACTAGCTGTAGGATTGATCTTCTTCGTTTCAACTTTCTTCTCTGCAGTTAACTTGCTTACTGATTGCTGAGCCACTTTAATCCTGAAACAAAATACATAGAAAAGATATTGTTAGATCCAAAGAAATTAAAGCTGCTCTGGCTCTGCTTGGTATACTCTCCCTCTGTAAGAACCATCACCACTAACTTTTTTTAGGCACATTAGCCCAACAAACTGCTATGACTATTCAAAGGCACTTAATAAAGCACCAAAAGTATATCAGAATACATTTTTAAATAGAGAAAATCAAAAGCAATAGGACCTGTACTGCTCACTGAAAATGTCACCAGGCAAACAATTCCTCTGTTCTTGCAGGATCTGTGTTTTATGGAGTATCTGGGTTTTATAGGGTATCTTTCCCACCAAAAAAGCTGCAGTGTCAAGGAAAGAAGATACCCCTCTGAAAAAAGATAAAAGCTAGCTGGCTTAATCTGTTGTATCTATAGAATACACTATTTTAGCAGGCCATTTGCCAGGCTACACATTATATTTCCTCTGAAAACCTTGAAATGAAAGCATCTGCTGAATTTTCCTCAATGTTTATCTCGTTGCTTTACGTGGAATTGACTGATCAGCCTCACTGATGTGGTGACAGGAGGAGAGGCAAATGGAAGGGGTTCTTGTCTAGGGGTAGTTAAAGCTGTCGTGTGTACAGCTACAGTCTACTGAAAGCACTACTGAGATAAGGGGAAAGAAGAACATAGATCTGATTCTTCAGTTTCTTGCCTTTTGCTCTTAGGGTCTTGCATACAGAACCCTTGTTTCTGTGGGCATTTAACAAGAAGAACCCAATCAGAAGTTTAATCAGGAGGAGAAGGAGAAACAGTGAGTTTAACAAAAAGGGACTCGACTCCCCTCTTACAGACAGGGGAAAGGGCAGGCGAAATTATGTGCTAAACAGTGATAAAAAGCAAAGAAAATTCCTGGCACTCTTAAGACAGGACCTGCCCAGCTATCAGTGCCTTTACAATGCTGATGCTATAAACACCTACTTTACAATTCTATATGCAAAATACAGAGGGAAAGATGTTGCCAGTGAATTTTTACAAGCAAGGAGAACTCAGCAAACCAACTTTCACTAATGCACACCAAATCAGTCTTTTACTATAAACAACACATTTCTTGGCACTCTTGAACTGAAAAATTCGACTTCTCCTATTTAATTTTTTCCACTGGCAGAATAATTACTCTGGCCAGTCAAAAAGTATTTAAAATACCATGTCTAGTTCAAACCACTTTCGACACACTCAATTTTTGAGGAATTTTGGAAGAAAAGCAAGACGAAAGTGGATTATAGCTGCAATTACTGATGTGTACTTCCTTGCTGTAACACTAGCAGCAAACTAAATTCTTTTAAAAACATAGGACACATTCGTAAGTTCATTATTGTGTTTATTAATGCTCAGTGTTGGAAACTAAAATTCCTTCTCTGAGCTATGTATTTTAGAAGCATCTACTGGGTAGGTATTGGTGTTTGCATCAGTTTCCAGTGCTTAAGAACAGGAGGAAACAGTTACAATATTTTCAAGTAAAATTATTTTCAACACTGTTTAACAACCACCTTGATTCAAGCTGTAAGTATATCCTCAAATATATAAATGTGAAATTATTATTCTGTATATTTAAAAATATATCTGAAGCCTTTTTAAAACTTAGTGTTGCCTCCTTCTACAGGTGAACAACTAAGTGGCAACACGTCATTCCATCTTTTTACAATTTTTTGTTAATCAGCACAGTTTACTTCTTAATGATGGATGACAGCAGCCACTGAACAGCATGCTCACAGCTACAAAGTTTATGCAAAAATGATGATGTATTTCAAGTGACAGTATTCAGGTTCAGTAGAATCACACCGAGGGATCAACTTCTAAACTCTTCCCTATTTTTAGCACATTTTCTTTTTGATCACATTCTGTTTGGTTCTAGGAGTGTTTTTTGAATAGTTTTTAAATGTTTAGAGTACATATTTTCATCTGAAGGGAGAATTCTAGGGATTATAAACTTTTAGACTTAAAAAGAAAATTATGCCTGTCACTGATTTAGGCCTAACTCTGTGAATTTTATTCCATATTTGCACAATTTCCAGAAAACCTGGATTTTTTTTTAAAATAGAATGCATAGTTTGGGATACAAAATAAAAATAAACCAGCTCACTAACATGATTTGAATCATGTGATATTTGGCTCATAAAAATGACAGACTAATTATATATTACACTTTGGTCTCCTAGGGAAAAAAGACATCACTTGGCTAACATATGACTGATAAGATTAGCAGGCATTATCAGACGCATAACTGCATAATTTAAAAGGAATGTGATTCTTTGGGATTTTTTAAAATCAGATGGCTTGATTTTAAGTAGTTAGCTCAGTAGTTACATTAGTGAAACACCCATGCTTTAAAGGTGCCTTGTAAATAAAAATAACTTTGTTAAACATGGACAGAATACTAGAACTGGCTATTGTGTTTGGAAGCACTATCCATGAATGAAAAAATGAAATAGTATGAAAACCTTCAAATTCAAAATCATAACATTGGCTAACAGCAGAAGCCTAATGTTCATATTTTTTCCATTATTTTACTTTCATTAAATGCTATGACAGTCTTCCAGCAAAATTTACAAACATATACAAGATTCTTTACCTGCATCTAAAGTTGAATGTCTGCACAACATTTAATGGAGCCTGTTACTGAAACAGGTAAGTAAAAACAAACAAATCACACACTTACAGAATGATTAGCTAGCAACTAGACTAACTCTGTAAATTCAATACAGGTATGCCTCTTCTCTGTTCATTCTATTTTTTTCCTATCACCTTTTCTTAGCATGAATAGAAGTCATCTCCATTTTTTAAATCATATAATAGCATAACTTTGTTTGAAAAACCTTTCATTAAAATACTAAAATTTACAAGTATATTAAAAAGAGAAGTAAAATTAGAGATGATTAAGGAACAGAAAGGACAAAACTACAAATAAAAGTACATTCGAAAGGATAGAACTAAACTACTAATTATTTTCTGATCTTATTAAGTTATTAACCAATCTGCAGACATACCACACAACGTACTATTATTTTTAGTTAACCTAAAAATGAACTATTAAATGTATTATAAAGTTAAGGCATTAATTGCAGTTTATGAGAATTTATATAGATGTAAATTGTTTATTGCAGTCTAATGGAAAAGGCAGTTCTGGAACCTATTTCCATTTGCACTACACAATTCCTTTCCTCTTTCTGCTTGTATGTGTTAAAAGACTTGTATATGAAAAAGAATTGGGTTCATAACTATTGTTTAGGTTTTCCCATTGAAGACATACATTTCTTGAATAAGCCCTAACTGGAAAAAAATTCTTAAAATAAAAGAAAAAATAAACAGTGTTTTTTTGAAAGCGGTGAAAAACTAACCATGTTTCATTGACAAACACACAGACACACACAGAGCTAATATTTTTTAAGAAAAACCTGACACAAACATTCTCAAAATCAGTTTCTAGAGAAACCTGTTGCAAGAAAAACTTTAAGCTCTGACTTTTTATAACTCAGGAACTCCTATTCTCTCTTGCATATGGCCTCAAAATCAGTATCTACACTAAGTCATCTATACTAAAGCTGCTGTATATCTAAAACATAAAAGCCAGAAGGGATACAAGCGTGTAGTAAAACACACTAGAAAAACAGTGATAAGGACACTTTTGAACAGAGAGCACTGCAGAGGACACAGACCAGAGAGGGTGGTAGAATACCTGAATCACAGCAGAGAAAAGGTGCGCGGGTGCTAATTCGGCAAGCAATAATATGAGGCCAAGACATGATGGAATGCAGGTCAGTTAAGCCTTGAAATCTGACCAGCTGCAACACGATGTTGCAAAAGGAAAGTTACTCTCCTTCAACAGAGAGCAAAAGAGGTCACTATACCTTAATGAATAAGAAGATGTGGTGGCAGCTGCACTACTGAGCAGTATTGCATATTACTGCACAATATTGGAAACAAAATTGAATGAAATCATCAAAATAATGTTATTTTTAAGTAGGAGAACCATAACTGTAACATTGCATAGCAATGGGAATATATTTGGCTTTTTCTTGTCTCTCTGTGGCAGACGGTGTCTTCCCCTGTAAACTGGATGCAAGTCAGGCCACTTAAATTAGAAGATATTAGTGAAAAATAAAGACACAATTTTTATTCAAAATTATTATTTTTATCTTGTAACTAGGGACATAGAAACTAAGTCTAAACATAAGCTCATATTTATTAAAAGTTTCCTTCATAAGCTCACGAAAATACTTTTCCTCCTTACAGAAAAAGATATTATCAAGCCAGGGACTAACCAGATAAATTCATTATCATTTTCATCCCTGCTTGCCATTCAAGTCAGACAGAAGAGGGTGTGAGCTGGCATGCTCCATGCTTCAAAGTCCCCAGATAGGAAAACTGTGATCGCTTCTGAACAAGCCAATTGCTACTCGTGCATGTTCAGGCTCTGTTGGTGTGCGAACACAGAGACCAAATTATCTGTTTGTCTCTCAATCTCTTGATACTCTGGAATAATCCATTCTCTTCGCTTCTACAGTTTCTTCCATGCAGCTGCTGGGTTATGTGGATAGCTGTGGGTTATGAAAGAGCTCGGAATGACAATTCTGTGCCACCTGAGCTTTCCATGACTTGAAGTTCAAACTTCTCCTATAGGACTATGTTGGCACAGGAATTGTGCAAATCAAACCTTCAGTTATGTGTGGAGATGAACAAGCAGGGGTAGCTGCAGTCAACATCAACTATTCAATCTAGAGCCAAGCTCCAGCCCCAGCCCAGATCCTTAACACAGCTGAACAGTGACTCCCCTTCACAGACTAAGAAACATCCCCATACCTCAAATTCCTTTCATGTGTTACGTGCCTTGCTGCTCTCAGTCATATGATAATCTCTGTATGCAGTCCATAAACTAAACCTTAAGTAACAATACCTGTTCCTGAATATAGCAGGCTACACTTCAGTCTGAACAATTTAGAAGACAGATGCCTGTGTATTACCTGGCCTGGCT